AACAATTGACAAATGTTATGAACATATTACAATCGTTAAATTGTAATCCATCAACTTCAGCACCATATCAAGGGATTGTCATTGTGCATGCTACTCGCCGCAGAAGCTTACAATATGGTACAACACTGATTCGCCTGTTTTGCCTGCTTGTAGAACATCTGTTTCAAAAGCCACCGTCATCATCTTCTCACATTAAAAACAAACTTTAATTCCAAATTTCAAGAGGCAAATATTGTGCTTTAACACATTTTTGTTTGCATCGGGAATTACAAATCCATAATCCCTTCCTCACCAAATAATTAAAAAGAACAATGGAAAGAAAAAAAAAAGGTTGTAATCAGTCATGATATGTGTGTGTGTTCCACAGCCAAGACAGATTGGCAAAAACAAATTATAATACATGAACCTAATCTTCAAACTAAGATAAAATTAGGTGGGATCTTCCTAGCATCATGTCGTTGGGCAATAATGGTATTTTTCCAAAGTAAAATATTGTACAGTGAAAACTTGACATTGCTTTTCTAGACTCAACTAAGGTAACATAACCCTTGTTCAAGCACTACAACACGTTTAGAAAGCCAGGCAACAAGTCATTTTAAACAATGATGCCTTCACATCATCGGCAGTGTATCTCATCATAAGTGCTATTTAACACCATAATATTTGTGGCAGGTAAAATAACATATTGCATTATCTCACACCTAGACACACCAAAAAGTTGTGTTCTATCAACTTTTCTTGATATTGAAAGATCCCAAAGCCATTGACATCACACTTCAAATTATAGGTAATTCACATGACATGGGCTTACACACATATGAAGATCAAATGTATTATGTGAGAGTGTGCAGTGGCAAATTCATAGTCGTTCACAATAATTGTCTGTACCTGCGATGCTGCACTAAGATCTGAACTCTTCTCAACTAAACTGTCAAGTCTCTCACCTCGTGCAAGCACACTATCAATGGTCTTATGCTGAACCAAGGAAAGAAACACCAAATAAGCCGGGTGAGAAATGTAGGAGATGACCAATAAGCAACGGCATATACTAAACAAAGATAAATTTATTACACAAAAGATATCTCCAACTTATTTCAGGAAAAAAATTTCAGCAGATAAGGTCCATGAGGTTATTCAGTTGAAGATCTTCTTTTGGCCCTTACTAAACAAAACAAATATGCCAAGTTGGAGGTTCCACTTAAATACAAAAGAATATTTACAACAAACAAACAGACGTACTGAATCCACCAATAAAAAGATTATAAAAACAGACACGACAAAAATATGTAGAACAAAATGTAAATGAAATAGTGCACTACACTCACAAGGATAATTTTTGTTTCATCTAATTCCCTCTGAATTTTCAACAACTTATCAGCCTCTGCAGGGTCCTGAAAATTGAAAATAAAGAAAGAAGAAAGTAGCTTCAGTTATAACTCATGAAACTTCATCTGTATTGTCAAATCAGAAAACATAATCTTGATTAACCATATGTTGCCTTATGACTCCAGATAAACAAACGAGGGCAAAAACAGATTTAACAGACACACCTGGAACTTGGTCAGGGCCTCACCCAAATAGGGCCATGTTTGTGTGCTGTCCTGTTGTGCAGTCCTCCAAGAATCACCAAATTTTTTCTGATATTCATCTAGCACCTGCCAATCGCAGGAATCAATCAGATATTTGATGAGACAAACATGAAACAAGCTTGGAGCACTATATTTAAGGTAGTCCATGAAACCAATTATGCAAAAACCTCAGGCACAACTAATTACAAATCAAAGCCAATTGGATCTCAATTTCTCACTAGGGTACCATTTAAGCTGAAGCAACTAGCCATCACAAAAATATGGGAAGCAAGGTATGGCAAATGAAGGGATTATTCAATGTATGAATACACTTACGCTCCTAGAAAAGGTACATATTGTGTTACCTGGTTGAGCAAAGAAAATGCACTTCGGACAGGATAGTGGTCATCCATAAAGCCCAGCGCACAAAGACCATTGCTGTTGTAAGCATGCACCTTATATTCTATGAAGAAACAACACAAAGAAATTCAGAGTTTATAAAAGCATACTGAAACTCCGACAAAAGATAAACAAGAAGAACAAGAACTTAAATGAGCGTCTAAGAAACACATTCAAAATTATAACAGTAATAACCCTGAGAGCAAGACAATCTGTGCCGTATGTTTTAGTGACCTTATTTACATAAATTTCTAATAAAAACGTGCCAACAAACTCCAATAAACAATTGCATCTGATGCCGAATGAAATTGGGGCAATGCAAATTCAAGCCTCAGATTCTATAATCACTACAAAAGTTTAAAAGAAAACCCGAAATTTACAATTGCAACAAAATTCTGTAACCTCAAATCCAGGAAAAAAAATATACAAACAAACAATATCACACAAGACAAGAGAGTTGAAAACTCCGGAAAACCGAGATCCCAAATCAAACCAGATTAATCAGCTAAGGATTTAAAACGCAAATTAGAATGATCAGAGCTGTCATCAAATTGGGAAAAATTATTAATATCGTATATAGCGCATAGAACACCTATAGAGTTGAAAACAAAAGTGAATGCAAGGGGGATCCGCGAAAATTGGGGACCCGAACCGAAAGAAATAATGGACCTTCATGCTTGACGGACTGACGTTGTCCGGATGGGGTCCGTTTGGCAACGGTGCGACCGACGAAGACGATGAACTCCTTGACGCTGGACCTCTGGAAGTAGCCGAAGTGACTGGTATCGGAGGCGTTGGCCAGAATGATCGGGTCGGATTCGTCCGGGTTGCACTTGAGGACCAGCAAGGCCGTGATCTTCATCTTTCTTCTCTGTTTCTCTGATTCTCCGTCCCTCTGTTACTCTGTACAAAAGATCTATTGGGGTTCGGAGGGTTCTTGTAACAGAGAGTCTGAAGTCTGGTGTTTGATTTGGGAAGTTGGGGATTTGGGGATTCGGATCGTGGAGAGGTGAAGAAAGGGAAAGTAAAGAATTGTGTTCTAGCAAGAGACGGGTAGGGATCCAGTGCATTTAAAGAATCTTTAGATACGGTGCAATTAGGTCGGCATCGCCGTGCACTTGTATGACTTAATATATGCCTTATCCTTTTCCTTAAAAAAAAAACCCCTAATTAATTTAAAATTTAAATTTATAATATGTATGCCTTATACTTTTGCTTTATTCTCTACGTCTACGCCATAGTCTATATAAAATCCAACTCATTTGGACCGCCTTTAAATCAATTCCTTATTCCCATGGCCAACAATTTTTAATTCCTTATGCTTTTTCAAAATTTAAATTCCTTATGCTTTTATAAAAAATTTGAATTCCTTATGCGTATCTAAAGATATATCTCTTTATAGTTAACGGGTTTAGTCCACTAAAAAAAAGCATTAACTTGCTGACTAGTGATCTCAAATTCAAACTCTCATAGAACCATAGTAGTGTGAGCGAGAATCCTTCTCTCTAATAGCTTATACTATCAATTGTACTAAAAAATATATATCTCTTTATAAGAAATGCTAATCTTCGTTACAGTTTACATTAGAAGTGTATACAATGTATATGGTTATTTATAAGTGTGACTGCTTAATCTTGATAGTAAATTCTTTATCGCCATTTTTTAAATCAATTAAAAGGAAATTAAATCACAAACCTATTACAACATTGAAAATATAAGTAACACTGATATATTCACTTATTAGCTATATTCATATGAATTATATCCTGTACATACAAGATCGGAAGCACATTGGGCCTAAGAGGGGCACATGCCTCCTCCCACACCCATTCCCTTGTTTTTCATTTGTTATTTTATGTATATAACTTAATGGAGTCTAGTTACAAAATTGCTCCCAAAACATGAATCTCATATCCCTCTTTATTATTTTCTCATTTATTATTGAGAATATATATATATATTTTTAACTCTCTTCATCCCTTAACACATGTTCTTTGCTTCCAAAACATGAATCTCATATCCCTCTTTATTATTTTCTCATTTATTATTGAGAATATATATATATATATTTTAACTCTCTTCATCCCTTAACACATGTTCTTCTCTCTCTCTCTCTCTCTCTCTCTCTCTCTCTCTCTCTCTCTCTCAAATTTCCTATAAATATTGTAAGAGTTATTATTGAAATATGAAATGAAACAAACTAATGAAATAGAGTTTTGTGACAAGTTACTCTCAAAAAGAAAAAAGATACTTGACTTGTCTAAAGTGCCCTACTGTCAACAACTCATGGTTCGCCTGTACATGAAGGTTTAGTACTTGTAGTTAGACAATGACAGTAATCCTGTTAGAGGACTCAAATTTGAAAAAATAATCCCCTTAATTTTGACTTATGCTCTTATATATTTGTTAATCAAAGGTCCATATTGTTGTTGCTCACATGATCGATAACACACTTGCATGAAAACGGGGATAATATTGTTTTGCTATTTCTGGCTAATAACGCTATGACACGCGTAATAACTTTTTTACATGACATATCGTTATTCGCCAGAAATAGCAAAGTAGTGATATCCCGTTACAACCAAGTTTTTCTGCACGCGATTGGATAATTGTGAAAGACAGGGTCAGGTGTAACTGGTTATCCTATTGAAGATTACTCCCGTTAGATCTTTAACCATTATGGCATTATGAATGAATGAATTCAATTTGGTTTTATAACAAACTTCTCAAACAATAGTGAAGCAGCAGTAGAATATCTGGAACTGGAATTCATGCAAACCGTGTCTGAAACGCCTAATTATAGAAAAGCGGGGGTTTCAAAAAACCGTTAAGGCTTTTAAGGTTACAGATGCCTGGTTTCCCGCGAAAGAAATACAAAGCCAACTGTTCCAACTCCATCAGTCTACAAAAATAGTAAATACAGGAATTGACCCCAAAACTAAAAACGGTTCTCCTTTAATAGTTATTCCTGGGCTGCTATTAATGCGAGAAATCTGTGCTGAGTAAATTGGTAAAAAAGGAAAGAAGAGCCCCTATTTGGGCTTAAGGCTTTTGTTGATGCCTTTGGGGGTAAATTAAATTCATCATCTCTCACTTTTTTTTTCCCTTTGCCCCCCCTTACCACCACTTCTTTTTCCTTTCCATCACATTCCCTTGATAGTTTTCAAGAAACTTGACAGGGAGTGCCTGATTCCTCCAGAAGTAAGTTCTTTTGGGTTTCTTCTAATCTTCTCTTCTTTTTTTTCTTCTTTCAATGTTGTTTATGTTAAGAATAGATCATCTGTTTGAGGCATTCTCTAAACTTTAATTAAGACAATATATATTTTTTTGTTCTGTTTGATGATATGAATTCTCACCTACGAATTCAATTAGGAAAAATGTGAACATATAAACACACATATTCGACAATCTATAGAAATATATATACTAGTTTTGATAATTGTTATGATCTGCCTCTCTCTTTCTCTCTGTTTTGTTTTTCCTATTTTGTTCTGCATTTGATAAACTGACTGTTGGAATCTGCAACAGAGTCAGAAGAGATGATCAGGTGTTTGCTTTTCATATCCTTGTTCATCCACGCAACTTTAGCAGCGAAAGCACCAAATGCAGCAGCGGAAGCACCAGATGCAGGACAGAAGGCCCCTGCGGGGTCTCCAACGAAGAAATGGCTGACTTTAAATGGTAATAATACCTTTTTGTTTACTATTTGGAGCTAACGAGTTGGCCATTTCAAAACGAAAACGAAAACAAAATCAATAAAAGAATTCTTCAACCAAAAGTTGATCTACTATGCAAAAAAGAAAAAAAGAAAAAGAAAAAAAAGGCAAGAAATTGGGCTTCTCAGAAGTTTCATTTAAGTGAATAAGGCCAATCTCAAGAAATAATTTGATAACTTGATATTAAATGAACCGAATTATGAGACGAAACAACAAGGTTTCTTCAACATTTGCAGGAATGTCTAAACATCTTTGACTTCTATATTAACTATAGCTAGTATCAAGTCAGTGTAATGACTTTCTGCAACCCATGATTTACCTGCAGGACAACAGCCCCTCGTTATAGCTCGTGGCGGGTTTTCGGGACTTTTTCCTGAATCCAGCACCTATGCGATTGACATGGCAAAGTCTCAAAGTTTGCCAGGGTACGCTTTCTTCTGCAATCTGCAGTTAACGAAAGATAGCGTTGGAATATGCCTGTCGAACATTCTGCTTGATAATACAACAACTATATCTATGTTCTACCCTAAAGACCAAAAGACTTACAATGTGAATGGGAAGGATATTCGTGGGTGGTTTGCTTTGGATTTTACAGCTGATCAGCTGTTAAACAATGTATCACGTAAGTTACTAATCAAGTAGACAACAAGATTTATGGGTTAAGGTGACTAGTGATCACGCTTTGTTTACTTGTGTTGTTCAATTCTTTTACAGTGACTCAAAACATTTTTTCCCGACCAAGTCACTTCGATGGTACTCTGCCAATAGCTACTGTTGAGGATGCTTTAGGAATTAAACCAGACAAATTCTGGCTGAACGTTCCGGTATCTCCCTATCCCTTTCTATAATACCAATGAGTTATTTTTGTAGAGTTGTTCTTCATCAGTCATAAATCATTTTCATTTTCATAATAAATGGTTTTGGTGTTTGGTTTGCTGTCTGTGGCATACAGTATGATACATTTTATAGCCAACACAAAATCAGTATGGCATCATTTGTTGAAAAGGTAATCAGATTTCCGTCTATGAATTACATCTCATCTCCTGAGATTGGTTTCTTGAAAACCGTAAGTGCAAAAGTGAACAAAGGGAGGACAAAGCTCATCTTCCAGTTCCTAGATCCTGAAGAAACTGAACCCACAACGAAACAAAAGTACAGCGCACTTGTGAAGAATCTTGAGATGATCAAGTCAGTTGCAGCTGGAATCCTTGTCCCAAAAGAATACATATGGCCGGTCAATAAGAACAACTATTTGGAGGCTGCCACTACACTCGTGACTGAGGCTCACAAACAGGGGCTAGAAGTACATGCTTCTGGTTTCGCAAATGACATCGTGCTCCCTTATAATTACAGTTTTGATCCAACAGCTGAGTACCTGCAGTTTGTAGATCAGCCAAACTTTTCTGTTGATGGGGTGCTTACAGATTTCCCTCCTACCGCATCCGAAACCATCGGTGAGATATCAGCCTTCACTTATCTTTCATTCAATTTAATAGCACCTACTTGACACAGACATTCATTTCACAAAACAAATGTTGGATTTCTGCCCCAATTAACCTGCCAATGCTTTCCTGGTGCAGCATGCTTTGCACAGAACAATAATGCTACCAAGCCTAAAAAAGGTAAGAATATTCTAGTAACTTTTGTACGCCAACAGTTGTGTTGTGAATCCTGTAATATTGTTGTTAGGAAGTTTCTTATAGAATTTTTGACTTTGCAGGACTTCCTTTGATCATAACAAGAAATGGAGCAAGTGGGACCTATCCTGGCAGCACAGACCTTGCTTATAAGCAAGCAGTAGATGATGGGGCGGACATAATAGATTGCTCAGTTCAACTGTCAAGTGATGGAGTTGCCTTCTGCTTAGATACCATAGACCTCAACTCAGGCACTAATGCATTATCTCAGTTCATGACCAAGAGTGAGACTATCCCTGAACTTCAAGCAGAAGCTGGAGTCTTCTCATTCCAGCTCTCATGGGATGAGATTCAGAGCTTGAAACGTAAGCTTCTTTACTTCAAAATCTGATATTGTTAGTAAGTAGCAAGCTTCTGAAAATCCCACCCCATCCCGTTAACTGTTCATCTTGGCTCTTTTTATTTCAGCTCAAATACAAAGCCCGTACGGAACTAAGGAAAAAGTATATAGAAACCCAGCTAACAAGGACGTGGGCAAACTGGTGACCCTCTCTGACTTCCTGGAGTTTTCTAAGACAAAGGCAGTTACTGGAATCTTGATCAACATTGAGGCAAGACTTTTAATAGTTTCAGTCATTTTGATTCTCAAACTCTTCTTATTATATATTCATTTTTGCTCAAAGTTAACGATGTTGTGGGATGAATTGTCAGAATGCTGCGTACCTAGCATCAAAGGCAGGTCTGGACATTGTGAAAACTGTAACCTCTGCCTTGAGCAATGCCACATTTGACAAGCAATCCACTCAGCAAGTGTTGATCAAATCAGATGACACTTCAGTGCTGTCCAAGTTCAAAGATGTGAAAACATACAGAAGGGTGCTCAACATTAAGGAGAAAATAAGTGATGCACCCAAGGCATCCGTGGATGAGATCAAGAAGTTTGCAGACGCAGTAACTATCTCCAAAGATTCCATTGTCAAAATCAGCGATTACTTCATTTCGGGGAAAACAAACGTTGTCAAGGAAATGAAGGCCGCAAACATCTCAGTGTATGTCCATTGGCTGAAGAATGAGTTCGTCAGTCTCATGTTTGATTATTTCTCCGACCCCATCATAGAGATTGCATCATATGCTCTGGAGTTCCAAGTTGATGGCATCGTCACCGATTTCCCAGCAACTGCTAACAAATATATGAGTAAGTATTATTGGTATAGTAGTGTTATTTTTCTGTTTAGTTACCTAATAAAACCACCCTCACAACAAGTTTTGACATGAACTTGCAGGGTGCCCATGTAATGATATGGACCCCAAAGCCACTATCCCATATCCCATTTTACCAGTGGAACCTGGTTCTTTGCTGGGTTTGGTAGTCCCCGAGGCATTGTCACCAGCACAAGCCCCAAGCCCAGCTCTTCAAGCTTCCAATGTCGTTGACCCCCCGCTTCCTGAAGTGGTGAAGAAAAACGACACAAGCCCACCACCCTCCAGCAGCAGCTCTGATTCAACTGATTCCGGCTCCAAATCTACACCTGCTCCTGGATCTTCTGAAAAGTCAAGTGCTTTCGCAAATGCTGCCAATCTTTGTCTTTCCTTGGTGGCCATAGTGGTTATCGCTTTGCTGGCAAATTAAGTAACCTTGGCCTTGAGCTTCTAAGATTACGTGAGTCTGTAATATACTTGCATAATTTATATAGTATAGTAAATATCGCAAATTAGACAGATTTATTCTGACTAGTTAAATTTATATCAATTCAATTATGTTGTTTTCAAGAGTCCATTGAATTCATACCAGTCAATCAACTCAACTCAAACCAACAATACTAATCTGTTTTTTTCATTAACCATATCCCTTACCCTTTATTAAGATCAACTTGATATCAAGTAAAGTTCAAAATTTTATTACATCATTGGATCAAGTTGAGTATTTAACATGGTAAAAGGTATAAACTTTTACCAAGTCGCTCATAATTTTCCAAGCAAATCTTTTTTAACAAAAACAGGGGAAAAATAATAATATTCGATAAAATATGGAAATCAACAAAGAGACAACGAGGCTCAGATTCGCCTTTTTTCAGACAAAAGAGGAAGGCAACGCAGCCTTCCATGGCTGCGACCACGGGTGCTACCTGTGGATGAAAGGACAGAATAGTCATTTTCACCAACAGAGCAACCGGGTCGCCCCGCCAAGGAAACCGGGTCACCATTTCCATGGTCTGGTTTTACAGAAGCTATAAATATCATCACCGCCTCTTGACTTTCGGTCACTATTACACAGAGAGAGAGAGAGAGAGAGAGAGAGTGAGAAAAGAAGAAGAAGAAGAAGATGATGATGATGATGATGAGGAAGAGGAAGAGAGAGAGAGAGGGCTGTTTGGTTGCTTCGCATGTAACATAAGGTTGGTTGAAAATCATCGGCTCCGCAGACATTCAGAGAGGGGGCAACCAACCCTCAGGAACACCCCAAACGGCCTCTCTGAGAGCAAAGCCTCATTCTTAAACTAATGAGCCTTAAACCCTAACCCCCTCCTGCCTCAGGCCTATTTTATGATGCTCCGGACTTGAGGGAAGGGTATTTTGGTCAGTCTGGTATCATGAAACTTTCTGGGACACAATGGTCATATCATGAAAAGTTGGGGACATAAAAAAAAAATAGCAAAAGAGATATTTGGACACAATTTGACTTTGGGTTTTCATAATTTTGACTCGGGAAGAACTTGCACAAGGATTGCAAAACAGTGTTATTTCCGTTATATACAAAATTTTCTCTCTATTTTACCTACTTGTTTGGCTCTTATTTTGGATGATATGGATTAAGTTGGGTATTTGTTATTTCTTTTTAATTTTCAGATTCATTCCGTCTTGTAACGGAAAGAAAAAAGTTGGTATGAGAGTCCAGAATTTAACATGCATAATAAATATGCAAACACGTTTTGTTACCATTAACTATAGAAATCAGAAGTCCATAATTTGCATTTTGCAATGGCGTAGAATCTTCTACTGAACACCACTAACAGGACTTCTCAATCTCATAATCTCAATGACAAATTTTTTTCCTTGTCCATTGAAATTCAAAAATCCGAACGATCAAGCATATCTACCAGAGTCATCCTCCTTGGGAACCTAGGTGGCAGCCTCAAATACATGGCATCTTCAATCTCAATTGGCTGATGTGTTGCCACAATCACAATTCCACCTTTCTTCCTATGCTCTGCAATGATATATTCAAGCAACTTCAGCCCCTCAGTGTCCAAAGCAACAGAAGGCTCATCAAGCAACCAGATTGGCCTATCCATTGCCAGCAACCTCGCGAGCTGCAGCCTTTTCCGCTGTCCCATAGACAGCATTCTTGCTTTCTCCTTTGCCAGTCTCCCAAGCCCCATCAGCTCCAAAGCCGGCATTGAATTCCCCTGCTTGCCTTCAAGAACTTCGAACCACTGGACATTGTCCAGAACTGTGAACTTCTCCTTCACAGCATCTTTAAGGGAGAGCCAGTTAAGTTGAAGCTTGTACTGGTGGAAAACACCTGAATCTGTGATGTCATGCCCGTTCCACAGGACCTGACCAGCTGAAGGACGAGAAAATCCAGCCAACATACGCAGGAAGGTAGTCTTGCCTGAGCCATTAGTGCCCATCAGTACAAGTGCTCCACCATCATGAATGGAGGCATTTACATGTCTCAAGATTTGTTGGGCATTCCTCATGCAAGAAACATTGTCGAGAAGGAGACGGGGAAGCGGGGGCTTTCTGAGAGACATCAGGGTCTATGAAACAGGAAAACTGCAGCTAATGCTAGACTATCAAAGAACTTTTGAAGTGTTTATTATCTGCAGTTGATGTTCAAGTGTTTATTATAGCTGTAATCAGAAAATTTCTCTAAGAAAGTTAAGGAAAAATAAGGAGAGGAGAGTTATACTTGGAATCAACGGATGAAGCAAATGAACATGTTGAAAATCAAAACTCAAGGTTTAATTTTTCTTTGAACAAAACTAAAATCAAACTGTCATTGCATCAGGAGGAACGGAGCAAATTTGAATGCAATGCAGTATCGTCATAGAAAGTTTTAACCCAAATGAAAAGAATAAAATCCATTGCAAACTTTCCTCAACGATTTGATTACTATATCGTCTGAATAAAATGCAAAAATCAAGAGAAACGCGATCCACATATGGATTGGCATAACAAAACACAAGCATCTGGGTATTATCCATAATCATGCAGACAGATTCACTGAGAAAACAAATAAAAACACAATCAGAATTCTCATTGAATCAAACACAAACAGAGGCAAATTACATGGAAACAAGACAGACAGAAGCACAATATGTTATCTAATTAAATAGAAAAGTTAATTGAATAATTAAATTTCATAAAGTCACACAATTTTGCAAAATTAAACAGAGCGGCGAGGTCAAAAAGGGTTTTATTTTATTTTAAATAAAAACCCAATTCGGGATTGATGTTCATATTGGGTATGACATTAACGGATTCAAAAAGTCAAAAGAGCCAAGCAGAAGTGAGGCAGACGCTGATGAAAAGGAAGAGCAGCTGGTGCAAGCAGAAGGAAAAAAATTGAACTCAAATCAACCCAACCTATAACTTTCATTTTGTAATATTTTTCACACTTCTCTCTGCCAGAAAGAAAGTAAACAATTCCATGAAAAACTAAAGAAACTAAAAAGGATGACTTACCGGCGATCGAAGATAGCTGAGTGAGTCAGTGCTGGCGAAACAGTCACAGATGGGGATTCATTTTATCTAATTACCATTTGAACACCAGCCAGAGATCATGAATTCGAAAGAGGAAAATCAAAGTTACAGAGAATGTGCAATACCCAGAAACCAAAACACATTAAAATTGCAAAAACTTATCAAAGAATAAGACTTTATACTATTAAGTGAGAAGTGAAACCTGGTTGCTGGAGCGTCAAGGTAAGCTTCGTCGTGAGGGAGATCAGATGCGACGATAAGTAATTGTAAAGGAAGGAGGGAGGGAGAGAGCTGAAAACAAATGGGGTTTGATTTGAGTTTGGGTTAATTTGGGTGGTATGGTTATCGGGCGGGTCTCTCTAGTTGGGTAATATCCATTTAACTTTTTCACCAAAAAATACTTCTATAATTTTTTGGGCCTTTTTTGTTTAATTGCACTCTACTTTTTCACAAAAAAAAAAAATAAATACAATTTATTTCCTATGCTCTCGTTAATAAAGACTAGAGAGACGATAGAGTAAGTTCAGAGGAGGAGGAGGCTCAAATTGATAAATATATAGAAGTAAATATAGGGGAAGCCACCGTGGCTGCAACAACAATACACACAATTGCCTGTGAGAAGGACAAAAGTGTAATTCATAAGCCACCCTTCCATTACAAGCTGATTTTTAGGGGCAAGTTCTACCCATAGGCTCTTAACACACTTGAAGCAGGTAAAAGCAACATATGTGAACGAATTATCTAATTCCTATTGTCAAAAAGATGAAGGTTTTAGCTTTTACTTTTACACACAGAATAAATCTGGGAGACAAATTGTTAAAAGAGTGGTGGTAGTTTGTCCATGGCTTAAAAGAACGGGTAGAGCTTGGTCCTCTTGAACACAATTTACATGATCTCCTTACCCCTCTGATGGAGTACAGATTTATGCACAACTTCCCCACCTGAGCTAACAAAGTAGGTTACCTGCAGCCCAAAATAAGGAAAGAACAAATGTATCAAACATGATAAACAAGGGATACCTTTTTAATAAAATAAAGCTGTAATGAAACAGCACAAGAAATGAATACCCACAATCTCTAGTGTGCTGACTCTATGAAGAAGAAACCCATCCTCCATTTGGCCCGGGTTCCCAAGGTAGCTCAGGCTGCGTCGTCGGACACTGCTAGCGCAACCCTGCGCACTTAAGTATGCATTCTGGAGAATAACATGTATGGTGAGGAGAGGACTTGGGAGTCAGATTTGGCATTTTACTTGGAATCGGCGCAGAAATAAGGTATTAGTGAATACCCCAAAAAAAAAAATTATTACCACTTCAAATTTCATAAAAATAAGTTGTAGAGGCTCAAAAACTTTCTTTGCTCCCATTCCCCCCTCACCATCTTCACAAATAGCCAATGGGTGGAATCCAACGACTATGCGCCTATATGGCAATACAAGCTAATTAGACATGGGAAGATTAGTTATCACTTACTGAAAAAAAAAGCTCAAGGAGCGAGGCTAGTTGGAAACCCAATCTTGAAGTCCTATACCGCAGAAATTCCAGTTCATGTAAGCATCAGAATGAAAACCAAAATTTTAGAGTTGGATTGCAAAAATAACAGCTTCAAAACAGAAACAATATGAGTCATGAAATATCAATTATCAGAAAACACCAAAATTGAAAGAACATTTCACAATTTCTTCAAGCTTTTTTGTGTTTTTAAGATATTGCTAGCACATAAGATCAGAAAAGCCAAGAACATAAATCAACTACAAATAGCAGGGCCATACAACTAATTAATTTTACCAGTTACTACTGGTTGCTTCTAGTGTCCCTTTCAGCCAATGTAACTGATTGTTTCCGAACCCACCTAATGATCTGGTGCCCTTCACGTTGAAAATAAGTTCAAGTAAGAAAGTAGAACAAAAAGCTACATATATACAGCAACCGTGTATAAATATATAAATAGATGATAATATACACATATTTATCAACCCTTGGATGAACTGCCAGACAAGCAAAGAAGGAAATCTATACAGGACATCTTTATATGACTTGAAGAAAAATAAAGATAAAAACAACTCCTAAGTCATTAAACAGACAAACAGCTTAGAAAGCTTACACAAAATAGGATCGGATAGATAAAATTGAAAAACAAAATAGTACATACCTGTAACAATCCAGTATCCACCACAATAACATCTAAGGTTTTCTCGTAAGGTAAATTGATCTTCTTTTGGAAGTAACCTCCTCCATGTCTTTCTGAAACTCTAGTGGTGTACCTGCAAGTGCTACTATTCATGCCTTAACCAGGAAAAAATAAACAACAGTGCAAACAGCATAGCTGAACCTCAGACACCGCTATAAGAACATTATATTAGATAAATGTACCCACTTCAAAGAATTTTGCCTAGAGGATAGCATACCAGGGAAGTTTCAGTGATGAGAAAAGCAGGGTACCCTGTAAAAGAATATATCCACCATTGTTACCAACAGTTGAAACCAAAGAAAGGAACAACTTCTAGTCTTTAACAATTGTAATATATCAACTTTATCCATTTTGTTGAAGTACATAGAATATACCTCCATTTATGATTAATCCCACCATATTAAGATTCTTAAAAGATCTTTCTTCCATGTTGAAAGATACATACTTACAATAATCAAGTAGAATGGTGGCTTTGCAGCTCAAATGTTTTGAGGAAAAAACAACCTTACATTCTGCATGAGCGGATCATCTTTCCCAAGATCACTAATGTCCACCACGAACTTTGCCTTGTACTTCTTTACCACCTTCTCCATCTTTATCAACAAGAAGAACCACAATTAATCCAGGGAAAATATTGTCAAGGCCCTCACAACTCTGCTCACTTAAAGTAACCAAAGGAAAAAGTGGAAACAAGATTCCTCTGCAAACAATATCATAGTACGAATCCCACAGAAACAGAGGTAACTATCCGGCTATTCAGCTGAGCCCTTCATTTAGCACCAAAACAAAACCACACATGTATAACGTAGATTATTTCGTTCAAGTTTCCCCATATTTCCTAACATTAACAACAATCATATCCGCCAAGATAGCATTAGACGAGATAAAAATCTTTGCTTTGTAGAATATAGGCCAAATTCCTCACTTTGATTATTCAAGAAGCATTATAACTTAAGAAACTGACCTGTTTGAGAAGATGGGTCTGTTGATTGAGAGGTCTGAAGCCCCCTCCAACGCTGATAAAGTAAAGATCAAGGGGTCTCGTCGTCCCACTTGTACCATGGTACATAGGCTTCTGAGGCTGACCCAGTTGAAAAGCAAGGTACAGACTAAAGCACAAACATGCCTGAGCCACCAAAGTAGGAACCCAGGAGGGTTTTTCCATTCGATAACAATCTCACTCACTGCCTCTCTTTCTGCTCAATAAGATTAAGCTAGCTAGACTTACAGATCTAAATGAATGCCTGAGACGATGACATGTATCGAGTTCGACTCTAATATTGGTATTGTTGATGAGCCTGCACTGCACATGATGTGCGCGCACGTTACTGTGAGTCTCGGGAAAACCACGCAAAATGACTTGATTTTGAGGGTATTATATTCCATTTCCATTTATTTTCAGCGTCTAAAGTTTATCCTTTGCTATATTGATGCTGATAGATACTCCATTATTCATTATTGATGATGAACACGTCTTAAGATTCTGTTAGATTCCAACCTGAGAAGTTTCGATGATTAGTTGGCAGGGTCCCACGTAAAACCAACGGGTTTCCAAGCGAGGTTCTTTCTTTTTGGTCAATCGTCAAAGTACTTTTGTGAAAAAAAAATATTTCCCCTTCTTTTGGGTGCTAAGGAGGGCTTTTGTGTTTGGCTTAGAACTTTGGACACAAGACCCATTTTGATTAGAACTTAGAAGGACAAAACAGTGAAGGGCAATCCAAATCACCAATTGCAGCATCAATTTAACATTAAAAAATGATGAATACATAGAGAAAAAGCAAGCAAAGGATCCGAATCCTATATGCATATATGGAACAGATGGTGACACAAAAGGAAGAATAACAGTGCTCCTTCATGCAACCAGCACAGAAGCACTGGGACACCATAACACGTACAAGAAGAGATTTATGTAATTTAGAATAATACCACTAATTATTTCTTTTTCTATTGTTCAATTAACTTTCTACTAATCCGTTGTTTTTAAAACTCACTTGTTCCAAAAATACAAATGGGTTTCAAATGTCGTGTGTTTCAAGCTCACCACCAGTTCTCTGTTTCTTTTAACCAAAAAGAGAAAAAGGGGTAAAAGAATTTGATCAGGATTACAGTATACAGATATAAGTTCTAATTCATTTCACCATCACCGGTGAAGTCGTCATCTCCAAACACATTGGAAAAGCTTCTCTCGTGTCAATTGGCTCCTCACTCTCATTTTCTTCAGCCTTGAAGCTTCTCGCCTGTATCAAGTTCTTGCGTTGCATCCCATGGCGCCTGGCTTCTACATGGATCCAACGAACAGCATTTGCCGGGTCTGATAGATGTCCCTCGAATCAGGCCAAGATTATACCTGAGCAACAAAAATAAGAATAGTTGCTAAAAGCAGTCCTGCGCCACATCAGTGGCCAGTTCAAAGTTACAATCACCAGTATATACAAAAGAAAACATTGATAAGTATGCTGTGGCAGCACGGTTACAAGATTATATTACTGCAGCGCAGAGGTACATGGCCTTCTAGGGAACCCTACAAAAACCATTTCAAAACAAGCTGAATGATTGCACTGCAAAGGGAGTTGGGATGCATAACTTCCCTCATGCCACAGAAATTCAGCCAACTAACCTAAGTTCCTTAATGTTGGATTCAGTTGCTGATCCACCTTCTTTTCCTAGCTGGCCGCTCTGGTTTAATCTCAGATTCCACAGGAGTCTCACTATTGGTGGTAGGCAGCACTTCACTCTCCAACTTTTTGATTGTTGCTGCTTCTTTTTCACTTGGCATTGGAAGCCTGAAACGCTCACTTCTTTTCTTCAACTTCTCAACTGTGTCCAGGTGCCGGTCCTCCAATGGTTTTGTGTCTGCATCCAATTGTTTGGTGTCTGCATCCTTAATATCCTGATCACCGGCATCTTTCTCCTCAACCAATGAATGTTGATTATCAACAGCCTCAACTGGTTTGGAAGATTCTTCTGGAAGTTTACTGGCATCTGAGGATCCTCTGTTGTGGCTCCTATCAAGCTCTTTCAACTTTAACGATGATTTACTGTTGACACTGAAATCCCTCTCCTTATGGCTCGTCCAGCGTTCCAATTTGGAGCGCCCCCTTCTTAAATCCTGTTGTTCATCATCAGAGGAAGCATCTTCCTTATGCCTTTTGGAAGAGTGACGGTGCTGTGGGATTCCCTCACCAGTTCCTTGCACACGGGTACCTTTCAAGCCCTAAAGGGGCAAAAGAAGCAATAATGAGAAAAGAGCCCACCCCAGGAGGAAACATTCTTCATCAATAAACTAGGGTCAAGTACAAAGGACAAAAAGTGATGATGAATAACAAGCACAGCTCTGCACGAAAATTCCTGGATTAGTCGGTAAGTTGTCAACTAGTAAATATAAATGTTGTTCCATTTGTTATTGTTCTATCCAACTGCAATATGCAGGAGCTCACTTCCGTTTTCCCTCACATAATGTGGGTCAGTCATCCCCTTCAGTACGGCCCTACACTGATTGAACCACAAGGTGAATGGAGAAAGATAGCACAAGCAAACTCAAATGCAGCTAAAGCATGATTATTAGTCTCAGCAAAGTGTACCAAATCATTGAATATGTGATCACTGCTGACCCAGCACATACATGTTATTTGGGCGAAAATTCCATGAACAGAAGCTACCACTAATTAGGATAAGACAAGTACACAATCTTCTGATTTTAGCACTCGTAAAGAAAGGAGGAAATGAAAAGCTGAACCCACACTCCAGCTGTGAAACAAGAAAGAGAATAGGTCCACACCAGTGAAAGTCTACTTTGCAGATGCTCAGTGTGGAGTATCCATTTGATATCAGAATTCCATTGTTATGACAAAGAAAAAGAATTGGGATTTTATTAGAACTGTCATCTGAAATCAAGCTTGCACCCTATATACATTATTTTTCAAGGAAGAAAAACTATACAAGAATTAAAAGGAAAAAACAACAAACAAATTAAACAAGAGAACTGATGTCAAGAAGTGAACATACCATCTCCTTACTGTGACCACTTTGATCTTCTTGATGTCTCTTGGAAGTAACTGTAGTGCTGTTATCAGCAATCTCAGATTCTTTATTCTTCCTTGTATTCTCTTTAGGTCTTCTATCATGGAGCTTTTGGTTGTCAGCACGTTCATTACGAGTACTTGATCTCTCCTTTCCAGATCTCTTCTCATCATTATTTGATTGATTTCCACGTCCATAAACATCCTCACGCCCCCTATGATTCGAGCTTTCTTCCTCAACCCTATCCCTCCTTTTAGATGGTTCACTGTGTCTCACAGTGTCTTTATATTGGTGCTCCTTATCAGAGCCTTTGCTTTCATCCTTTGCCCTAGTATGGCCCACCCATGCTTTGTCTTCTGCACCACGCCCACCCCTTATAGAAGCTCGTCCTTCATCTCTTTCCCGCTTGGGTACATTTTCCTCATGGGATTGTTTAACCCTATGCCACTCCTCCCTTTCTCTTTGCCTATCACCTCTCTCCCTCTGCAACCAGCTTTCATCTTTGTGCCTGACAGAGTGAGGATCATCAAGATTATCTCTAACTCTCTGCTGGTCATCTCTCTTACGCTGATCCAAAATTTCATCCCTTTCACGCTTTCGGCGACTGGTACTTTCTCTGTGGCCATGCACAAAATCTTCTTTATCTATATGGTCTCTCCTCATATATTCCTCATCTTTCCTTCTCTTGCCGTGGTAATCATCTATATAGCTGCCATTATCTAACTGTTTTCTTGACTGAAGATGTTCATCTTTGTCACTCCGCTCACTTTCTCGAGCCTTACTCCTGTGCCTGGATCCCATTTCATCACCACGCTCTCTCTTCCTTGTTTCTTCAGTTCTAATCCTTCTGACATAAGGTTCATCATCTCTCCGTTGCCATGGCCCGTCAAGATTGTCCCTTTCCTTTCGCCTATGAAGCCCATCACTTTTCAATTGCAATGGATGAGCAGAGCTAGGATCCCAGTCCCTATAAGGATAAGAGTCCTCCCGCCCTTTTACTACAGTGTGACTTCTATCTGGTTCCTGTCTACCATCACGGTTTTTCCTTTGGAACCCCTGTTCATTTTCATCAAGGTGCCTCTTGATGCCCCCCATGTGTGTTGAACGTCCTTGAATGACTTCCTCCTCAACCCCATCCCTCCACTTCTGATAATCCTTGCTGCTTCCAGATCTTGCTTTGCTGTTGTCACTACTTCTTGCAGCCTTTGAGTCCTCACCATCATCAAGTTCTTCATCGGCAGATTGTTCAACTCTTGAACTTAATTTTTTATGCTTTGGAGGCCCATCTTGCAGTTCATCATTTACAGTAACCGTAGCCATTTCCTCCTTTTCCATTCCAGAGCTTCCATCAGCCAGCACAGGCTCATCTTGGTCACTATCTCTATACTCAACACTTGACTCGTGGGCACCCCTATTTGTGATAGGAGATGATATCAGCGAACTACGTTTACCATCCATGCTTTCCACTGATTCTTCCTTCTGGTTGTCAAGAAATTTTTTATCCCTTGTATTCCGGCTAGGAGTCACACGAGGAGATCTGTCCCGTGCTTTTCCCTGTGTTCCCCTGTATTAATAATGAGAGAGTTAAAAGGCGTTCATGAAGTTTGTACTCTAATCTTGTTAAGTTCATATTTATAAATGCACCATAAAATCAAGCAAACAAACTATGCTCTCGCACTCTGTACCGAAAAAGAGTTTCTCATTATTAACCCTGTCCTGGAGTTCTCAATATGGGTGGCAATTTTCAACATAAAAATCCTAGTACCTTTCCTCAAAAGTGGAACCAAAACTTCCACCAGGATAACTAGGAGTCTCTCCCCCAGAACCCGTATATGGGACTGGCGCTTCTGGAGGGAAGGGCAAGATTCCTTCTTCTTCTGGTATGCTATCATGGAATGGAATTTTTCTTCCAACCGGCTCCCTCTTTTGGTCATTATAAGAGGCGGGAAAACCATCAAAATACACACTCTCAACCTGCGCAAGGTCTCCTTCACCAACAGCACTTCTACCAAAATCCTCTCTTGGGCGATCAGTTTCAGTTTTCTCTGGGATACCATTTCCTGCGGAGGAATCATCATCTAAAGAATCCTGCAAGACAATCTGTTTACAGAACAGCCAGCAGTTAACTTATATTGCCTAGCCAAAAATAAGAAATGAACACACAATGATGGGATCAATACACTAACAGATTACTACCTCAATAATTGCATCTGAATCACGAATTCGAGGTGGTCGGGTATCAATGGAGGGGAGACGCTCACCATAACCACCTTCCACCTGTATTGCTCTTCCAGTTGGCTGTCAAGAAATTTATTCAACCATGGAGTTAGGAAACGAGCATGAGCTCCAAAACTAACATAGCCATTCATCAGGTCAACAAGAGCTAGCATTATCAATGCAATTGTACAAGATGCGCAGATCAAGAATATAGATAACAGGAAATACAAGATCTGTGAGATAGCAAAACTTAAAGGGCAAGATACTGTCTTTATAGAAAGAAAAAAAGTTCAAAAATGAAACCATCTATACATACTATAGGTGGACGCAGACGAGCAGATCCTTTCACTAAATCACTTTGCCCAACATCTGACTTTCCAGGATTTGCATTTAATCGTGAATGCCAGTTGCTGCTGCTAATTCTGGGGGTAGATCTGGATCATACTCCTGTGATGAACACAGGAAAAGGCAAACTTTCCTTTTTCACGTTTCACCAACATATGGTTGCAAAGAATAAATACTTAAAAACTCAAATAGCCAATACATTTTATTGAGGTCCATAATCACCTCATTACCTGTTCTGTTCGTCCACTTTCGTAAACACGAATTTTGCTTTGCATAGTGGACTCCAAGCGAAGCTGTTCCTGCAAATTTAAAATATAGGGGCAGTTACAGCATTCCCTTATACAAAAGACAATATGCTAAGGGTTTGATTGTTACCAGCTGTTTGCAATAATCTTTCCAGCTTTCTTCATTTAAGCCAAAGTTGAAGAAGTCTGATGTATCAACGCCAGGATATTTCCAAGGTTTTTCCTCAAAACCATCAATGTCAACATCAAATATGGTTCTGGAAAACACAAGCAAATTCATGAAACAATAATGAGAAAACCCAACTTTCAACTACCAAATGATTACACATGACACTTAAAATAATAGAAGACTGATGTCAGCTCCAGAGAGCGCACACACACACACAAACCCCATCACCCATTGCACTTTAGCAATTTATAAATAAAGAAGAAAATGTAATCACTTCAGCATGATTTTTCACATATCATATGCAGTAGTAAAAACTTAACAATATCTTCTAACCCAAAAAAAAAAAATGAGAAGAAAACATGACAGCATTGCACTATCACGAGAGCCAGTAAAAAAATAAACAATCCAGTTCCCCGTGTATCTTGATATCTTAAAATCATGAATATTACTTGTGTGAAGGAAGCGTAAACTCCAGCCCACCACCGAAACCGCGACCGCCCATATTGTTGCCCCAGCCAGGCATACCAAAGCCTGAATGAAAATTCTTCTGCAGTGGAGTAGCATTTTTTAATCCCGTTGGTCTCCAGTCACCTCTACCTCGACCAGCTACAGGACCCACATTTACAAGCGGACGAACTTGACCTGGGACTCCTCCAGGGCCAGAAGTAGCTGGTCCACTCATAGGCACAGCACCTGGTCTTACATACTGCATAAGAAGAAACAGTTTTTAACTTTTCAGGTATAGAAGTAGAGCATTCAAAAAAATTACCAAATAACAAAATAATAACATCCAAACTGTTCCTTAAGTTGCTTACGAGAAACAAAATCAGAAATGAGATATGGTAGAAGAGTGAATCAACAGCCAGCCACGTGTAGCCTTGGCTCTTTGGAAAAATAGGGGCTGAGGGTAGTGAAGACCTATTATAAAACTACTTTTTAGGAATGGGAACACCCATGCTGGGGTTCTCCAAATGAGAGCAGAACGCAACATAAACAATGGGACCTGTACTAAAGCTAACAGTTTCCCAACTGGGAAGATTCACCACAATTGACTGTTAAGGCATTTAGAACAAAAGAATCATGAAGATTCATTAGCACTAAGCGATGCACTCAAAAGATAACTTAAGATATTAATCGCAGAAAATGATGAAAACTTGCATCCAGTAAAACTGGTGACTTAACCTGTGAAGCAATTTAAGCTAAGCTCAAAAAGTTGTAGCTAGTTTGCATCCTTCAAAATTGTATAGGTTAAGTACAGACAGTGATTTCTCAGTTATTTTAAGGGCAAAATATAATATGCATTGGCAATCCAGTGCCACCTATCTAGTACGGTCTCAACAACTTGCACAATTACTAGGCTACTAGCATTTTCCAGAGTTTCAAGCAATATGCTTTATTTGGAAATGAAGTGTTTCAGTATGTACTTGTTCATAGAATAATAATGTGCAAAATAGCTTAATAACTGCACCTTCTACTGCAGCAAGATTAGAAAGGACATAGGCTAGAGTGCAATGAAGCCATGCTACATACAAATTTATTGTGGTATATCAATTGCAACAACTTTGGAAGTGAGAGTAATTGTTCTTATGGAGATTCAGAGCCCGTTAACAATATGTCAGCCTAGTTAACTATCATTCTAATCCTCAATTCTAAAGCTCTGTAGTAAATGTGCCTCAGGCCTCTCTGTAGTTCATGTGACTCAGAGAGGCAACGCCGATTAATCCACCAAGTAGAATCTAAATTCTTCATATCATCATTACAATGTAGTATGAATGATAATCAAAGATTTATGACAGTGAAGAAATCTGAGGATTGGAAATTGTGAAGGTTTGTCAAATATGTAGGTGTGTTCCCAAACACATCATCATTGCTCAATAAATTGCCTGTTGTAGCAATATTACTCGAGAAGAGTACATAAATAGCACATTTACTACTGTTCCTCAATAAGTATCACCGCAATTGTCACCCACAGCTAAGCCTAGGTAGAAAGAAATGTAGTTACTGTCTGGAGTAAGGAAAAATCAATTTCATAGAATTTAATATATATGTGTCTCCCCATTTTCTATTTTGATCAGTGAAGATCTTCTGCACACTCCAAACTCCCAAACCCTTCTATCAGAAGACAATCTAGACAGCTGAAAGGCAAAGGCATCTACTTGGTATTGGGGGAAAAAAATTTAACACAGTGCACTTCATCAAGAAGGTAATGCCCAGCTTATTTAAATTAAATTACTCAATAAACACAATCGGACAAAAATTAACATATATGATTCTGTATTTTGAGCAATTCCACTCTCTGTAGTGACTTCCATTCAAATTTTCAGGTACCATCGATTCAAGTAAATGCCACAATTCTGAAACATATTCAAATTATTAATTTTCACTTCACTGATAATCAACTACATACTCACATTGTACAATCATTACAAAGCATAATTTACAATTATAATCTCTCATCAAAGAAGGGGACATCACAAGACCCCAGATACAAAAAGTTCCCTACATTAATCAACATATTAACAAAACTAAACTAACCTTAAACTGAGAATGAAATGGATGATACCCATGATTGCTATACCCAACTTTGGGGGGTGCAACCACGCTGCCACCGCCAACAGCCTTCCCGGCTTCACCCATCTCCTTTCTCTCACCTTCAGCCGCCTGTGCTCCGTCTTCACCCCACTCTTGCTCTTCCATCGGTTGGTTCAGCTCACCATCAGCCACAATAACGAGCCCGTCTTCATCGTCGTCGTCGCCTTCAGCGTTGCCACCTATTCCGCCTCTCTCCATAGCCATAGGCCCGTGGTTGTTATCATTCAACACTATCTGCAAATCGTCCTCGCTATCGTCACTGTCCCAATCATCTTCGCCTCTCTCACCTTCCTTTCTAGAACCTTCCGGGTTTCCTATATTGACCGCCGAATCATTCACCGGAAAGGTTTCCGATAGCCCTGGAATCACCGGGTCCAAACCCATATCATCAGTTTCATTGTTATCCTCCTCGATGTCGAAATTCACATCCTTGTCCATCAAATCCACAGTTTTACCACCGATATTAGAATCCACGGAATCGACTTTTGGTAATTCAACACCTTTATCCTCCAAACCCCTAGACCCACCTGCTGAATCCGCATCTTTAGTCGAATTGGCGGGGACAGAGTCGGCGGGAGCTAGGGTTTGGGTATTCGGTGGGTGGGGAAGAGAAGGATTAGAGTGAGGAGCTGCATATAGGATCTCGTCCTCTTCGTTACGGAGGTTGAGATCGATCGGACGGTGAGGTTGGGGTGCAGTGGAGGGTTGGTGGGGCTGCGGCGCAGAAGATGATTGGGACGATTCAAAGGGTCTAAGAACGTCTGTGTAGAGATCTCCGAATTCGTCATCGTCTTCCATCTAAAGGACGGAGCTTTAGAGAGAGAGAGAGAGGAAGTGTTTGTGTGTGTGTGTGTGTGTGTGTGAGAGAGAGAGAGAGTGAGAGGGTTTTGAGGTCCGCAAGACTGCAGGAGCCAAAGAGTGAAGCAATGACCAATATGTAAAACTTAAAATGTTGCATCTAATGTGTTTTCCCCAGTTTACATTCCAAATTTCTTTCTTAAATTCCAAATTCCAAGACCCAAAATGTATTTATTAATTATTATTATTATTATTATTATTTAGGTGATAGGAATATGAGCTCCTAATTTTGGGTTTCTCTTTCTACTTTTGCTTATGGAAATGGGTAAAACATGACATGGGCTGCCAATTGAGATGTCCTATGTTGTTGATGGGTTAAAGACTTGACTTGAGAGCTCTGTTGTTGTGCCACTTTTGGGTTGGCTACTTGGGTTGAACAAGCTTTCGTTGGTGTGTGTTGTAACTTGGGAACACTTTTCCTTTTTCTTTTTCTTTTTTTTTTCTTTTTTTTTTTTTTTTTTTTTTTTTTTTTTTTTTTTTTTTTGGCTGAACAAAAGATCCTCCCTTGGCATGTTGTTGAAAAGGCATTGAATTTTCACCAAAAGAAAGAGGCATTGTAAATTGTAAAAAAACCATTAAAGCTTGAGCATGCCTTCTCATTTTGACCATTTAATACCGAATATCTAATTTCCAACAAATAAAATCCAAATTTAAGACAAACCAGCTAGGCCTCGAGCTTTTCTGGCTTGGACCCTCTTCCAAATGGTATTTGGTCTTCAAGCATAAGTTTCATATTACTTATTTTTATTCTACACATTCTTTTGTCACCAATAGCTAGTCTGATATTATATTGTTTGGTTTTTTTCCCCAGATAGCAATATATATATATATATATATATATATAAGACCACAAAAATAAATTAACAATTTTTTTTGTCTATATATCATCAATTTAGTTATTCTTTTTTTTCTTTTTTTCTTTTTTGGTCTGATCAATTTAGTTATTCATCTAGTAGTATACTTTTGACCAATATTAGAAGATGTCCTATTTGAGTCATCGTCCCCATAGATGAAAAAGAATAACAATGTCCTTGTTTGGTGGGTAAGATAAGGAGTATGATTGGATTTGCGTAATTCAATTTCATGTTTGGTGTTAAAAACCAAAGTGAATAGGATAAAGGATAATTTCATTATGTGTTTTTTTTAAGATAATTGTCTTACCAATAAGGTGGGATACATAATCCAATTGTTCAAATCCCTTGATATTGGACTCAAGTTTTGAGAGTCTACAAACACTCGGGACACTAGTGCCAATAAATGATATATATAGTCAATCCCCTTATATTGAGGGACACCCTTTAGGGTATCTTACAAAAAAAATTCAAACAATCGAAATCATCTATTTAGACATCTAATGGTGTCCTATAAAATCAATGAATAAGATGTTTCAAGAAAGTACTAAAATTTCAATAATTTTATTGAGTGGTCAAATAATATCATATTCAAGTAATTTTTTGGAGAGATAAACTTCAAATGAATATCTACAAAATAGACGATTTGGATTAATGAAATACAATGTAAAGTGAGACCTACAAGGATGTCCCTCAACAGACACACAACGGGAGAATGGTTTCTCACACACAGACACACTCATCCTCGCATACACACACTATTAATGTGTCATGGAAGTTCGAACCTAAGACCAATAAAGAATACCAATTCTATCCAATCCAATCTAATATAATTTAATCATAGTCACCAAACAAACAGGAAAAACAAATAACACTCATAAAAGAATATGGGGAATATTAAAAAGTAAATAATGTTGAGACACATAAAAATAAAATAAATAAATAAAAAGCTACCGGTCCAGACCGGCACAAAGAGGAGCGAGTCGAGTGAAAATACTGAATACAGAAGTGAGTTGCGGTGTGTAAAAGTTGTGCTTCCGAAATCGGATCTGCATCACCACCACCATCTCTGTATTCTTCGAAATTCTTGAAATAGAAGAAGAAAAGGAAGAGGTGGATAAGAATGATTGGGGTTGGGAAGATCAAGCAATACTCTAATGTCCTCGACAAGCCCCTCAGCAAGGGAAAACAAGAGGTCCTCGCTTTCTCTCTCTCTCTCGTTTATTCAGTTTTCATTATTTCATGCATTTTCTCTGGAACCAAACTGCGTTTCACACCCTTTTGCATCGCTATGACATGCTTGATCAGATTACCTTAATCCTCACTAAATGGCTGCATTTTGTGGGATCTCTGTATGTTGGGTACTGGGATTTAGGAAAGCAAAATTATAATCCTTAACTAAATGTTTAAATTTCATTAATTTCTAACTGTTATGCTGCAAATTTATACTCAACTGACCTTTATCCGAGTTCTGAGCACCTGGGTCTTTTCCTTTATCGAATTTTACGATAGATTGTGATTTGGGCAATTTGATCCGGGTTAAATACTTACTTGGTTGCCCATTTTTGCATTTGATTTTTGTTCCAGGTCAGTTTGAGTGCGTTTGCATTCTTGTTTTCGGAGCTTGTGCAGTACAACCAGACACAGGTTGACAACATTGCCGAGTTAGAACGCAGGTGATTCAAATTACTATCAGAAGTACATGTACATTCGAATTTGGTTATTATAAGGGTTCTGTTAGGTTCCTTAAGTTATAAATGGTTCTACGACATGTTATAAGCTGTGGGCTTACACTTTCATCTGAAATGAACTTCTGAGTTTGATTAGGTTAGCTGGTTATGCAACTCTTAGCTGGTAATTGAGTAATGAAAAGATTATTGCTCAGAATCGTTTGGTTTACTAGTATTGCCAGTTTCTTCTGCAACCTAAAAAAAAGAAGCCCAGAGATGGAATTGGAAAATGGAAGCGAAACAGCATGAAAAAGAAGAACTTGAGATTTGGTGTGAAAGAAACAATTAGCAAAGACAATTTCTTTCCTTTTAGCTCTCCATCGACTTCTCTTGAAATTCTAATATATGTTTGGAACCATAGTTCAATAATGCTTTATGTAAATTGAGCAGGCTGGAGGATGCAGGATATGCTGTTGGGGCTCGAGTTCTGGAGCTTCTTTGCCATAGGGATAAGGTAGGAATTGTTATTGAACAGAAATATCCCTAGATTTAAGTTTTTATAATCACAATATCAAGAGACCCTTACTTCATTTTGGGAGTAAGCAGGGATGGCAATTGGGTACCCATCTATTCTGGCTATAACTCTAATAAGGTTTTCACCACCACCACCACCATTGCCTCCACAGGGTTATAGCCAAAATAAACAGGTACCCAATTGCCATCCCCAGTAAGTGAGAAATAATAGGCAGATATCAGTGTTTTTGGTTTGTGAGATATTCTCTATCTATAAGTTTCTCAGTGAATATCATGCTGGTTATTTCACAATCAATACTCAGTACCAAGAATAGGTATCTTTTCATTTGTCTATGTTGTTTTAGCCTGGATGCATGAACATGTGAGGCATCCATCCCTTCGTTTAGGTTGGCATGTTCCCACTTATTGAGTGTTTGGAGCTAATGATTACTGGATATGTTGTTTTAGTCTCTGTACACTTTGGATACATAATGACACAATTGGATTCTTTGAATATACGGCTAGTTCATAGTTAGAAACCCAATTTACTTAATGTAGCAAATGCTTTCAGTTGTGGTTATAAACTAATTTCTAGGTGGAAGAAGAAATTGTACTTAAGGATTAATGCAGTGTGCTCATCTTCTTGGAATTGTAATATGACAATGTTATCCTGATGTTTTGGAACCTAGAACTTTAATGGTCCAATTTCATAACAAACTATATGTGTTTGTGGATTTGGATATAATCTTTTTATTGAGTTTGACTCAAATGCTATATTGATGGTTCTTTTCTGCCACAGGGAAACAGAAGGGAGACAAGGTTATTGGGTATCCTGTCTTTTGTGCATAGCACTGTGTGGAAGGTGTTATTTGGAAAGGTTAGTGCTTTTGCTTTGCCTTCTTTTATCTTTTCGATGTTTAGGGGAGCTTAATGGCTGAAATACAACACTATGTACTTATCCTTGGGAACTATGTTAACTGCTTCTTGGTGCCTGAAAATTAGGTAGCCGATTCCCTTGAGAAAGGCACTGAACATGAAGATGAGTACATGATTAGTGAGAAGGAGCTCCTTGTGAACCGGTAACTGTTTCTGCAGTAATGATAGTTTGTACCGCTTGCTGTTTCAGTTAGCTGGATCTATAGTTTTTGGTTATCTGTTGCTTAGTCTTTGGTTATCCAGCTAATACACAATTTTTGGGTTGTAGATTTATTTCGATTCCAAAAGACATGGGAACCTTTAATTGTGGAGCATTTGTTGCTGGAATTGTAAGGGTAAGTTCCATGGTACTTTCTTGCTTGTTAATTGATTTATCTGGTGCTTATGAGGTCTGATTGGCATTTCCTTCTCCTATGAAGGGTGTTTTGGACGGTGCTGGTTTTCCAGCTGTAGTAACAGCTCATTTTGTACCAGTGGAGGGTCAGCAACGACCTCGAACAACCATTTTGATAAAATTTGCTGAAGAGGTGACTGATTATTATTTACATTAATCTTTCATACACATCAGATGGGTGTTTATTTACCATGTTATTCTTGTAAACGACATAGAATGAATTTTCAGTTAATGGGAGTGAGTACACTTGCAAATTATACACATCCACGGTTCACCTGCCTGTGTATTTGAAAGTCCACTATGCTAGATTTCTTGTTCCATTTTAGTATTTGTATTATAATCTTGTCTGTTTCTTTTCCCTCTGCAAGGTACTACGAAGAGAAGCAAGGTTAGGTTGATGCTCGTGGCAAGACTATCCCATTATAGTTTACCCAGTGCCTCTCCATAGTACAATGAAGAAGGTTGAAGCTTACAGCTGCATTGTCAAGCTAATGAAAATTCCACCTCTAAACTTATCAATCAGACTTGTGGCAATTCAAATTCCCACATTGGTTAATTCACTTTGTAAGCTATGGCTCGATGCTGATTTGAAAGTAGCTACTATTGTAAGTGTGGTTCATCTAAACAAGGAAAGGAAAAGAAAAACAGTTTATTTTCTGCGAATTCTGTTGTTTATAGGAACTCGAATGACTGTTGGCCTTGTCTTGAAAGAAGCCTCATTTTATCCTCAAAATGGTTAACAAACCACGTCTCGTTGAAACCTTTTTTAATTTTTTGGTTTATCATATGGGGTTTTTTTAAATTTTTTTTTAAGGATTTTTTCTATTGAGAGGGGCTATAATACACTAAACTCTCACACATAACATAAATGTCAAGACTCAAATTACTCCAAACCACTACATTAGTGTATCCTTTGCTCACAAGAGGGATTAAACACTGGGTTGAAAACTTTTTGAGTTATATTTGTTTTGAGTACAAGCGAATGTGGAGGGGGTTTACACAAATATTTATTGGGTGCCTGAGTGTTTCGAACTTCTGCTCACATTAGGTGGAAGTGAATGACTCAAACAACTAATAAGTTACCCTGCTGGCTTTGGAATTATATATATTTTTTAGGACATGGTTATTTTTGGTCAAGAAAGAAACTTGATGAAAAAGGAGAAACAACCGATCCCACGACCTAATAATTATATACTAAAACTGAATAAAAGATACTGTTCTTATACTGTAGCTTAGGAATAGTTAAATGACATTTGTGCCCCTGCTTAATTTGTTGCCCTCTTAATTATGTTCAGTAATGAACAGTATAATGGCATTTTTGCCCTAATGCACAGCGACATAACTCTTTTGCCTGACCGCTTCTTTTTGGAGAAACCAAAGCCGCTTCATCGAAAAGAATTGAGAGAGAGAGGCCTCAGAGATCATAGTCGTCTTCTCAAACTATCTCCCCGTCTCTTTCCATTTCTCTCCGCCGCCGCCGCCGTCATAATCACAAGCACCGACTCTCCGCCACCGTCTCCGACGGACGATTCTGATGCCTCACCCGTTGGGTCTCCCGATCGCGCCTCCTCTGAGATTCAACGACAGCCGTCCGACGATGACATGATCAATCGCCTGGGACCAGCGGTCTCTCTGAGGATCTGAAACAAAAAATTATTAAGTAGGCAAGTTCTCTCTGTCTCTCTCTATTTGAGCATGTGGATAATGAACCCTAGGAGCTTAATATATGTTTGTCTCTCACTAAAAAAAATATATCCCAATCCAATGTAAGCAAAGAAAAGAATGGTTTTATTCCAAAACGACATGAAAACCCATCTCTCTTTTACCAACAAAACAAAACCCCAAAATTTTGACCGCAAATTAATCAGACTTTCCTGAGACTCTCCCCATCTTGGACGTCAACGGTCGACCCATCGACCCATCAGTTTTCACTTGTCAAACCCAAGACGAGCCATTCATTCTCGCACCTTTCACTTCTGCTTCTGGTATGATGTGATTTCTTCGACTGAATTGAATTTGTGGGTTTTGCTCTCTATGAATTTTGAGAATATATGGGGTTTTTTATTATTTATAATAATTTTTTTTTTTAACTTAATAATTTATATGTAGTGTAAGGGACGAGAGAGAGAGAAGAAGAATGAATAAGGGGGGAGGTGCAGCGTCAGGTGGCGGATTGGGAGGTGGGGGAAGTGGGCCCACTGCGGCTGCGGCGGCAGCAGCAGCTCAGAAGCAGAAGGCGTTGCTGCAGAGAGTGGAGACGGACATCGCCAACATCGTCGACAATTTCAGCTCCCTCGTCAACGTCTCCAGGGTCACACACAAACACTCTCTCTCTCTCTCTCTCTCTCTCTCTCTCTCTCTCATTGTGTCTTTCGCTTTCTCACCAAAATTTCTGACAATGGGGAATGCCAACCAACCTTATTAATGCTTGTAGGTGAACGATCCTCCTGTTAGAAACTCTCAAGAAGCTTTCATGATGGAGATGCGTGCAGCTAGAATGGTCAAGCCTTTTCCTTTCCTTCCTGCTTTCTGATTTATTTTTATTTCATTTTGTTTTAGATCCTAAACCCTATTCAATTCAAGCAAGTATAATTGTTAAACTTTATCACTTTGCGTTTGATCTTATTCATTTGCTTCATAAACTTACAACTCAGAAATCAGAAATGTTTTGTTAAATAAACAGAGGAGGTCTGTGCATGCGATGTGAAAGATGCCCCAATTTCATAATCTGTGTTTCATCAATCAATGTGCTTAGAGATTCACAAAAGGAGTGGCTACTCTGCTCTTGTTAATTGATGAGTTAGGATCATGTTTGTGGTGACTGTTTGCTATTCAGTTTACTCTTGTCTGGCCTTATCAAATGAGCTCCTCTTTAAGTTTACTGCAAGCTTGCTTTATATGTTTCCTAGTTGGTTACTGAGTTCTTTGGTCATTCGCCTTTCATCTATGATCACAGGTTCAGGCAGCTGATTCTCTGCTCAAGTTGGTGTCAGAACTGAAGCAGACGGCAATTTTTTCGGGATTTGCCTCCCTTAATGACCATGTAGAGCAAAGAATAGTGGAGTTCAACCAGCAGGCTGAGAAGACCGACCAGATGTTGGCTAGAATCGGAGAGGAGGCAGCTGCTAGCCTCAAGGAGCTTGAATCCCATTACTATTCTTCTGCACTGAGGACTAGTGAAAACTTGCAGCCATGAACTTGACAATAATTTAAACTAGACATTAGTTTGGTGATTGTTTCTTGAATCATGTATACACAGGCAGAAACAATGTACTTGTACGATGCAAACAGATTTTCACTCTTAAAATATCTTTTATTTTCGCCCTGAATTGAATTGAATGAATTCTATCGTTATTTTTGGTTGTCTTTTCAAGCCTCAAATCTCAGAGGAATTGATATTTAAAGCAATGACGACATGCCAGTTGATAACTCTTAACAGAAACCATGTGCCAACGAAATGCAAATCCAAGTCAACAATCAAACGTATTAGTCATCAACCATTGGCAGAATAGCATCACTAATGCTTCAAGGACCATAAACTTTCAGTATGATTGATTATAAACACAAAATACCTTGAGGACTTTGGAATGGAAGCGAATAAGGCGGCCAGCCAAATAGTAAAAGGCAGTTTTAAGAGAATGAGATGTCTCACATAATTACTACTGCCAAAGGCCTGCTAACTCCTATTCTGGTGAAGGACGCTTAAAAAGCCAGAAACAATCCCTGCGTGCCTGGTGGGCGAGGAAACTCTTGCAAGAGATCCACGAAGTGAATTGCACAAGAAAAGACACTAAACTGACATTACTATCTTTTTCCATTTCAAGCTTTGTAAGTTTTATAACACACAACAAAGTACAACAGGGCTTCATTTTATTCTTAAAAACTTGAAAGAAAAGGGGAAGCAATTTAGGAAAGAACAAGGTCTCATCTCATGAGCACTAACATTATAATTCACTTTCCTTTTTGGGTCCAGTAATCTCCCAAAAACAAAAAACGAGTGAAATTGGAAGATAAACATCGAGGAAAACTGTCAGTTTTCAATTAACTCTATGCTGCTGCAGCAGCAGAATGTGCAAACCCTAAGAAAGACCATGAACTTCAATCATAGCTCATTCTAGCAATGGCTGCTATTCAACATCTAGACGAAGAAATAGTAGAAGGAGAATATATAACAGAATATGATGAAATCGCAACAGGCACAAGCATGTAGTCTACCAAATCCTTTTTTTATTTATTAATATTTCCAGTCTTTTCTTTTTTCAATGAGAATTATATCCATTCTCAACACCAAGACCATATAAAACACCAGCATATTTGTCAGGATTCCCACTAAAGAAAGTCTCTTTCAGTTTCATGAACGCACAACTAGTCAGCAAACTATCAGAACCAGCTTGGTGGCAAATACCAATTCTCTCCACATCTAGCAGCTCCGCCAACTTGTTCAACCCACCATGAAGGCTGTTGCAGAACCTCATGAGATGCTTGATATCATAAATTGTAGGAAAATACACCTTGATCATATCAAAGAACCCCATCTGTGTGTCCGGAAGGGTTTCGCCTTTCAGAAGCTTGAGCAAGTACCCGAAATCATAGCCACTGTGGAATGTCACCCAAACCACGTTTTCATTCAGCACAACACCGGATGTCATCAGTAGCTGGCTGAACCTAACAGCATCAACACCCTTCTCATTGTTCTTCTTGAAATCCATACCGCTCTGTGACAATAACTCTATGGAGTCATTGGCATACACATCCTCATTGGGGTTGAAGTCGCGGAAATTGAATTGCCATACACAGTGCTTGTCAGTTTCACAGGTCGGAAGGTTCCCGTTCTCATCAGTAAATGTGAGACCCAACTGAATTAACTTCAAAAGGTCCACATTGGCCTTAAGGGTTTGATAATTATAATCAAAACTGTTCTTGAAAGTGCCTATGGGCCGCAAAACGATACCTGGAAACTCTGTATCCATAGCTATATAAGGGTAATCGTCTACAATCTTACGAATCAATTCGAACTCCTTCTCAAGATTATCGTTCCAAACTTCCCTAATGTGAATTGAATCGCTTTTCGTCAACAAAGACATTTTATTTTCGCAGAAGCAACACAAATTTATGCAAATAACAAGACCAAGAAGAGCAAAAACCATAAATCTGCAAACGAAACCAAGAAAACCAAAACCCATATCTCAAAATTCATACCGAGCAAAATCCACATATCGAAACCTAGAAAAGAAAGGCAGAAATCAAAGGTACGATAACTCACCTCAATAATCCAGGAATATGATATTCTCGTTTTAGGTTTGAGAAATGATGCGCCGAGGTATAATGGGTTGGAATAAGATGAGGATTTTCTCCGAGAAATCAATGCGTTTCTCGGGAAAATTTGGGGGTTTTGGGTGTGAAAACGAGGGTTTTGTTGGAAAAGAGAGAGGGGTTTTTATAGAAGAGGGATGAGAGTCTAAAAATAAAGACTTTGTTCTAAGTCGTTTTGTGATAAAGCGCTGTAAGCCTTCCATGCTTATACATTGTAACAGCAAGGATAGCTAAGTGAGGTCAGGGAGAACGAACCGGTGCGTTACTTATGAGTTGGTGCTTATGGATACAAAACCTAGTATTTTCTTTACCCATTTTGTCCTTCTTTTTTCCATTTTCTTTTTCATTTTGTTTACCTTTTAATTAATTTTCTTTTTGTCTTTTGTCTTTTGTCTTTTCCAACAAAGAACTATGCTTTTGTTATTTGGAAAAGTTGGACATGTAAACCAGCATTGCAGTGGTGGTTGAAGATGCTGGGACTTCAGTTTCCATTAAACTTCAATTTGGTTTTGGGAGTTCATCATTGAGTAAGCATTCGTCTTATCAAACTTTCAATGTTTAGTTAAGATATAAGTTATTACTTCACAAAAATCATGGCATTCAAGTTTTCATGTTTATGTACCAACTGGCTATTATTCAAGTTTCCACTTCTCAATGTTGAAGAAAACTTTTATGCGGTTCAGTAAATTCAGTTGGGTAGAACATCTGTTTAGTATAAGTGTTTTCTTCACAATAAGGAAACGAAGAAACCTTTTATTGGTAGCAACAGATGAAAGGTAGTTCAAATCTCAATAAAAAGAATTTGGATTTCCTTTCCCCCTGCCCATCTATTTTCATTTCTCACAGAACATAAAACCTTCTTGAGACATACTGTCTCGTTATCGTGACAACAACAAAGCCAAAATGAGAAGCACATGAGAATATAAAAACAAACCTGCACCAATCATCTTCACTGCATATTATAGACTTTTACAGTGACACACAACATGAACACTTAGCTGAAATGCTCTCAATCTCTAAGCAACACATCACTTTTTTAAGAATTGACAAACTTTGTGTATCCTTGATTGAGAAACACCTTTAAATACTGTGCAAACTAAACCAGCAGGTAGATACTAACATGTTCTCAAAAACCTAATCAGGAATGCTGCACCACTCACCCACACACATTCAAAGTCAGCTTTATTCTCACCGATCACTATATTTTATAGCCATTAGCAAGCCTTCCCTCAGTGCAACGAACAGCCCACAGTAAGTTTTGCAGCTGAGACTATAGGGAACTCAATTCCAGGCTCCGCCCAATAAGTTTCAACAGCCCAACAGCTCAATCAAAAACAATCAATGGAACATGATATAGAGGTTCTCAACAAACCACAGCTCACAAACACCACTTTGTCGTGTGGAACAGCTCAGGTACTCCGCAAGTTTTAAACGTTTTGTTGACAAATCTACCACGACTTCAAATTTCGGTAAATAAAACTATACAACTCAGGCAACTGTTACTATGACATTACGAACGTCAAATCTTTAAATACTACACAAAGCATAAGTGAAGAACGACCGCCATTATGGAAAACATGCAAAAAAAAAAGGGTTTCAAAAATGTAAACATATGATAGTATGCACCTCTTATTTTATTAGTGTTAATGTTGCAAGTAAAACTCGTTTAGTTGAAGCATCAACATCAAAAACCCCATCTTCACAACTGATATTGTAGATCAAGGGATTATGCTTGCTACCAAGCAGCAAGACAGCCAATGAGAGTATATAACAAGCCAAAGTTTCCTATTAAAGATCAACTTCAAATTACAACAAAATAGGAATCAATAAAAACTGAAAATTCACATTAAAAATGAGACAATATTGCATTCTCTTCGACCTTACCATCAATTAGTTTCTACCGAGTGGGAGAGATCTACAAGAATATGTTTCCTTGAACTCCGACTTCCTTGACGACGTGAAGATAGACGCATACACTTCCTTAGTAGCATTAGGCGGGGCTATATCCACAGCCTTGAACCTCTTTGCCGCACCATTACTCACACCCTTCACATTATCCCCACCATTCACAACCTTCCCATGTACCTCTACATTTGCTGATGCCTTCTCCACAGCCTTAACATCAATGCCATGCTTGGTACCGCTCAACCGCGAGGCCTCAAAACCCATACCCTCCTCTCCATTCAGAGTAGCATCCCCTTTTTTCGTCTTCTTCATCTTTTTCACTCTCCCTTTCCCCTTCTCGGCCTCCATTCTATCTCTCAACGCCGCAACTTCCTCTTCGTTTCCGTTAATCACAATCTTATCCGCCTCAGAAAATCCAACATGACAAACAAGGCAAGTGGAGGATTTTACCTCCTTTAAAGCCTTTGCACTGAGTACATGTCCACAAGTTTTCAATGCCAAAAACTTACACTTACCGTTAAACTCCACTCCAGAAATAGGGCATTGAAACCGCGGCCCCGCGGCACTCGATCGGTGATTGGATTCAGTCCCAGGAATTGGGGAAAAATGAACAGTGATCATGTCCTTCAAGCCCTTTATGTGCCCAAAGGCCTTGGGCACCTTCTTGCCCAACAAGGCCTCCACAAGGGGCTCCTTGTTAAACACATTCCCAAGAAAATCCACCACGCACGGTTCCTTCAAGGGCTCGTTGGAGAGCGAGCAATTGAGCCACTTCGACAGCCTCTGCTCATTTGGGTCAACCTTATCGGGCTTCTTCTCAGCATACATCTTGAGATAACAGTCGCGGGACTCGGCCCCCGTGGCCCCGCCATCGCCGCCACCTCCGCAAGCTCTAATACGTAAAAAGAGGGTAGAAAGAGGGGTAATTTGGGAATCGAGAAGTGGAGTGGAGTCGTTTAGGGGTTTACCATTGAGGGTGAAGTAAAGCGATGGCAGGGTATGGGAGAAAATAGAGAGCTTGAGGTGACGGAGAGTTGGCGTCTGAGTTGGGGCTAGGGTTATGGTTTGGGTCGGAATTTGGAGGTCTGGAGATTGGAGGAAGATTTGGAAATTGTGAAGTTTGGGATGCATCGTGTTTCTGGTTTTTCTACGGACTATGAAATCAGGGTTTCAAGGTTGAAGCTTGGGAGGGAAATTGCGGAAATTGGAAATAGGATCACAATGGATTTGGGAATTTGGGAATTTATACTTTTGGTTGAAGCTTGGGTCGGTGACGCTATTGTCCTCTTTGTTTTCCTTTTGATTAAGAAAAGGGTGATGCTATTTTAAAAATAAAAAATAAACCATATGCGTCTTTGCTTATTTTTTGTATTTATATTTATTTGCTCAAACTATTACAAAACCTCCAAAATACTTTTATCCGAAAAAAAATTCAAAAACCTTCATTAAAAAAAAATAGAATTTCAAAAAAAGAATACAATTATAACAATTCATGTATTTGGTTTAGCCAATGGAGTCTAGTCCAGCAGGAAATGGCATTGACTTGCATACTAGAGGGTTCATGTTCGAACTCCCATGGCAACATAGTTGTGTGTGTGTGAAAAATTCTCATTCTCTGTAATTTAGACAATCGCTTGTACTCAAATAAAAAAATGTATTTGGTTTAGCCTCGATGTCCTTGTCGAATTTATTTTGACTTGTATACTAAGATATTAAGAGGATATAACTTTTAATGTATTTCAGATTTCAACCAAAAAATAAAGGATGGTTAGCGACCAATTATCTTAGCAAACCATGTTAATAATTTTTATTTAAAAATAATTTATTTCTTATGTTAATTATTTTGTTTAACTTACATTTTTAAAAAAATTGAAACTATATAATATGTTACTAATTCGTAATCGAAATCAAAATAAGAAGTTGTATTTCGATTATGGATTAATGTTATGTTTACTTCATAAAAATGAAATTAAATGCAAGTGGGCTCACACAAAATTAGGAACACAATTGTTGATTTTGGAGGAATTTGGCTCTTGAGTGGGATGTGGTATTCTAACTCATGGAGAACTAACCTATCTGAATTTTAAATGAATTATAATTTAGTAAACATCGTATAAGGAATCAGCACTATTCCTACCCTGATTCCACATAGTTGAGTAAACATCTTAAATGGGAATCCAAATTTTGACTCCTCCACAATTCAATTCATCATCACATCGATTATGAATTAGTAAACATGCCATAAAGTTAGACGCTACAATTCTATTTTTTTAACCATGATTTATCAATAAACTTGTTATTATATTAGTTTTTTGTTTCTTTCAAAAGTTAAGAAGAGAGAGGGGGAAAGCTGTTTTTCTGGTTTGTCAGTCCCAAAGTATGAGTATCATGAGGGTTTAAAATTGGGAGCACACCAACAACCTAGGTCAATCCAACTAACACATGATAAGTTATATTAGTACTTTTTTGGATTGTGTTTATTTTTAGCCAACTTGTAATATTACGTAATCTATATATATCAAGCAAAAGGTAAAGAATGGTGAAGCATTTAAAATGACAAAAAATGTCTTTGGTTATTGCAAACATTAAGAATTGAAATTATTAATTAAATAAGGATAATATGGTAAATTCAAACATTTTCATATTAAAAAAAATTAAATTAAAAGAAAATTCAGAGAATGGATTCTATTTTTATGGAATACAACTACTAATCCTTTTTAATTCTAAAATAAATTTTAAAATAAAAAATAAAAAACCTCTCCCGAGTGCAGAAGAGCGTGCGAAGAGGCTAGTTATATTTTAAGACTGAAAACAGACCCCAACCAAAAGAAAAAAAAAATCCTGAAAAAACAAAAAGAAAAACGCGCAAAAGGAAAAAGGAGGAAAAGGGTAGTATGGTCATTTGAAAGTAGGGTTTTTAGGGTTCATCTATGTTCTCGTGTGAGTTATAAGAACGACCCCGTCGGCCTCATTCACTTCTCTTGCAGCAAATAGCAGTGCGGCTCTTAGATCTGTACATCACCACAACCTCCACCATCATCAAGGTCAGCACTTATCTCTCTGTGCGTCTGATTACATTTTCCTCTAATTTAACTTCTACAACTACGTTTCGGTTTAGAAGTTCTGTGTGGCCGCTGAGAAATTTAATTGAAAAATGAAAAAGAAGAAAAGATGAATGGGGCATTAATAATTGTCTAAAATCCAAAACTGGCTTGAAGGGCATTTTGCATTCTGTGATTTTTCATGAAAGCTACAAAATTGCTTCTGGAAATTCCAAGTAACATTTCATGTCCGAGTATTTTAGCACTAGAGTTAACATCTTCTGTGTGTTTGTATAACTGTTAATATATTTGGTTGTCTGTTTTTGACGTGGGCACCAAATTTGACTTGGTATGTATTCTAAGCGCTGGTTATTGTGCATCATCGGCGTGTATAGTTCACTTTAGTAAACTAACCATGCTCAAAGTATCTATCTAATTCTTTAAGATTCTCTAGTTATTCCTTTACAAGTCAGAACTACTAGTGTTATGTTTTTGTAGGTTTTTATTGCTATAAGACTAGTTTAGGTTTCAGTGATGGAGCTTGCAAGTCTGGTAATTTTATCTTTTGCCGAAATTTTTTATATGGCTGACATCTGTTTTGTTATTTTCTTGTAACCAGGGCCTCTAATTTCAGCAGACAAGCACAATGTCAGGGTATGTAGATATTTCTTTTTCCAATTCTCCGTACTCATTTTCACTGTACGTATGGAATATTTATTTTAATGGAGGGTGCGAGTATTTTGAGAGATCAAAGTGCGATCCTGATTACTTGGCCTGAGAAGTAGCCTAAATTTATCTTTTTTACTGGTAAACTGCCTTTCACAAATTTGATACATATCAAAATGAGGGTACATGTTATTGGTCTAGTATTGTGAGACCTGTTTGGTTTAGAATAGATCCAGATTTGCAGAATGTGTGGCAAACCGCTGAATTATAGTTGTGTGCCTCTAGGGACCTTTTGTTTTGGACTGTGGGAGTATGTAATGGATGAGTGAGTGAAGGCTTACTTTAGTTAATTATGTTTTAGATTGTGTGTTTTTTGATACTAGGATCTGTGCACTTGTTCTGCATTTTATGCTCTATGTCCTATAGAAGGAAAATTAAGAAGCCCTTGTAAGTTGTATTTTATGATATCTTCTTTGGTCCCTTAATATTTCACTGACTGGATAGTGCTTCAGTTTGTTTTTTTTTTTTTTTTTTTCTGTTGTGATTTCCTTAGGATTTATTTGGTTTGCATGTGTATGTCTATGTCAAGTCAATTTATTTCTCGTACAGAGAAGAAGAAGTTGTTGTTGCTGCTGAGCCTGCTGCTGCTGCTGTTCCAGCTCTAGGTGAGCCCATGGACCTTTTGACAGCATTGCAACTTGTGTTGAGAAAGTCGTTGGCTCATGGTGGGCTCACACGTGGACTCCACGAAGGTGCAAAGGTCATTGAGAAGCACGCTGCTCAGCTCTGTGTGTTAGCTGAGGACTGCGATCAGGCTGATTATGTCAAGCTGGTCAAGGCGCTATGTGCTGACCATAATGTTAAATTGATATCAATTCCTAGTGCTAAAACTCTTGGAGAATGGTCTGGTGTAAGTGAAAATCAATTGACATAAAGCAGTGTTGTTAGTTTTAGTTCTTGCCTAAAAGTACTTATTTGCAGATGTTAATTATTTAGCTTGTTCGGGCGTTTTCCTCTATCTCTCTATTGCTCCTTTTGCCCTCTTTCTCCATAGCTCCATAATTAATCTACTTGTTTTATACACATGCAATTATCTTCACTTAGTAACAATTCCATTTAGAGGGTATTTATTTACCAATAAATAAAAAATGTCTGTCGATTTGCTTATCATCTGATCAGATCTGTCGTGGGTGGGGGGACTGGGTAGTTGGTAATCTTCAAACTCTATTTCCTTTTATTGATTTCCCTTTGGGCACTTTAATTCTTTTTCTTTCTGATAATGCTCATGTTCTTTTTTCAACTTATTTTTAATTTTAAACATTCTTCTCACAGCTTTGTAAGATTGATTCAGAGGGAAAGGCTAGAAAGGTTGTTGGTTGCTCCTGCGTTGTTGTGAAGGTATGTAAACATTTATTTGTGTGCATTTCTGTTGTTGTCTCTTGAACCTATGTTGCTGACAAATATAGGTCAGACAAATGAATCCATCAAAATTTTAGTGATTCACTAAATTAGATCAATGATTTTGTGTTTCTATCCATTTTCTTTTGTTTCAATGAGTTTCTTAATAACTTTATTATTCTGCCAATTTGGCTTAGGGAAGGTTTGTATTCATCCACCATACGTGCTTTTATCACATGCTAAATTGGATTATTCTTCGTATGGTTTTTGTTTCCTAATCATATTGTCTATTGTTTTGCAGGATTATGGGGAAGATACAGAAGGCCTTCATGTTGTTCAGGAGTACGTGAAGTCCCATTAAACTAGAAGATATTGGAGAGTCAGCCCCATTTTGATTTTGGGGTGATGTTCTTTAGGTAGTCTTAAGCCTTTTTTAATATTGGTTATGATTTCATCAGTGGCATGTCCAAACTTATAGAAGTGGAATTGAGTAACTGTCGTCTCTGATTTTCGAAACATGATGATTTGTCTATCTTAACCTATCCTTGAATTGAATGAAGTAATTTTTGGTGTGGTTTCATTAGTGATTTGCATGTTTTTTCTTTTGGGTTTCTCGTTAACAATGCAAATGGGGCATTTCAAATGATGAGGATCACGTTATGATTGTATGACATCCTTTTCAAGAAATTTGAGGTTCAGACACGTTATGGTTAAAAATCTTTAGCAGCAGCCCCTTTAATCTCTGAACAGAGACCAGAGCATGATGTGGAAACTCATCATTCTCAGCCTCAGGCTTGGTGATAACAACAATACAAATTTATAAATAAACTCAATCCTAGACATGTATTTATAAAAAAATTCAAACACTATTTAAACATTGAAACACACCCAAAATCAACTCCAAAGTCAACAATTGTATATTTTTTAGGTGTGTTTATAAATGGGTTTTGAATGTGTGTAATGATGGGTTTTGGGTGTATTTATAAAGTGTTTTAGGTGTTGGCTTTTTTTATAATTTCAGCTCTCGTTTTGGGTGTTTTAGCGAAACTCCCTAAAAACAATTGGCATCATCCTGTTTTTATTTTTTTTCTAATTATCCTTGGGACAAAATTTAAGTGAAATCCACCAGGCTATGCAGTAGTGGTCCATAAAGAGCGGTGCAATGTGTCCTCAAGCCTCTGGTTGAACCTGCACCAGGAATACCTGTGAACCACATTTAGCTTTCAACGACCTTTA